TGCAGCGAGACTATTATACAGGTAGTCCTCACTTAACAACCATGATAGGGATTGGAAAATTGATTGTTAAGCAGAGAGCAGTCATTAAGCAAGGCACCACATGACCGGCCTCAATTTTATGACCATTTTTACTATGGTCATGAAGTAAATCACATGGTCATAAGCAAATCATATGTTCATTAAGTGAATCCGGCTTTCCCAATGGACACATTTTGCCAGAGTTCGCTTAATTACCATGTGATTTGCTTAATGACCATGTGATTCACTTAACGACCACAGTGATTTGATTAATGACCATCGTAAAAAGGTTGCAAATTTGTTTATGTTATGTTTGTGTTATGTTGTGACAGCCATAAAGGACTTTTTCTGAGGCTGTCGTAACTTTGAACCATTGTTAAATGAACAGTCATTAAATGAGGACTACCTGTATGTAGAAAGATGGAAGTCTACAGAACACCAATATTGGAGGAATGGATTGTGAAGATGGCTGAGTTTGCAGAAATGGGTAAATTGACTCATTTGATTAAGGAGGGAACTACAACTACTTTTATAAAAGACTGGAAACCCTTTATAAACTTTCTGCTGATACTGGATAAAAATGAACTGTTGATTGTGGGACTTATTGATTTCAAAGGTTTGTTTGTGGGAAGAAGGGAACTATGATATGCAATATGGGAGGGTGGGGATGGTAATTGCTATGTTTGTAACTGCTGCAAAGTAGATTGGAAATCGGTTCTTTAGATACCTTTCTTTTTTTACTTTTTTTTGTTCTTCATTTTTTCTTTTACTTTTTAATAATCTTTTTCTATTTCTTTTTCTATGTTTTTATAGTTTTTTAAATCTTTGTAAAATCTTTTAATAAAATTCATAAAAAAGAGTAACGATGTCTGCTGCTATGGATAGACTATGTCTACAAGATGAAGGAATGACAAATATGGAACACATTTTATCTGACAAGATAGAGAAAGTACAGAATGTGGAACTACAAATGACAGGCCAAGAGAATGGTTTGGAAAAGGATGCTTTACTGGATATATAAAACAAACTGGCTGAAATTTTAAAAATTAAAAAGGAAATGCAAATGATAAACCAAAAGAATGACCTGGAAAGTGTTTTCTTATTGGATCTACAAAAGAGGCTGTTTAAAGCCTTGAAGAAATCTCTGCAATGGCATAAAGAACTGAAGAGAAATCAAATCCTATGATAATATTTGATTGAATTAAAAATTAAGACTGTTAGAAGTAAAAGGAAGGAATATAAAGTTGGTTTATTTGATCAAGTTAAAATAAGACTTTTTTTTTTTTTTTTTGCAGTATTCTGGTAAACCTTTTATGGACTTTTTGCTGACATCAGGATTGAAAAGTTGATGTTTTTTGGATATGCTTTATAGATAAGGGATGAAGAGGTATCTGTTTAACTTTACAAGGGGATTTTATGGATATGCTTTATAGATAAGGGATGAAGAGCTATTAAATTTGTTTGTACTTGTGATGAAGGTTGGAAGTCACTTTATATATTTCTCTCTTTTTTCTTTATTATATCCTTTTTTTCTCCTTTTTCTTTTTTCCTTCATTTTTTTATTCTTTCTTTCCTTTCTGTTGTCTTTCTCTAAGTTTAGCTGGTATTAGTTTTTACTATTGTAATCAAAATTCTTAATAAAAATTATATTAAAAAACTAACATATTGCAAAATTTATGTTAGAATCCAGGCACCCATGAGATTTTGCCCATGAAGTCAAGGTTACAGTGAATTTGAGTGAATTTGTTAGCAACGTGGTGCATAATGGAAATGTCTGTCAGATAGATGGGAAGCATTTAAGATGGAGGTAATGTGTAGCTACTATTCCTATCTATATTAGGAAGTGGTCTGACCATGACAAAAGATTCACTATAATGTCCTCCATGTCTAGATCGCACATCAATTGCTGTCAAGTAAAGGAAAGGACAAGTATGTGTTCTTCTGTGTGTGTTGGGGTAGATATTATTTTGGACAAGCCCATGGTCGTCATAGAAACCAATAAGTTCCTGAACCTTCCTGGAATTTGCTCCCAAGGCCTGGAAATAGAAGCCTCCAAGTACAAGTAACTGGAGTAATTATAAAACCAGACCAGAGGCATGATCTAGGAGCTTCAGGAGAGATCCAACTAGTACCCAAGTAGGACACCCAACTTATTTCTGTTGCCCAGCTTAATGCACAGGCATTCACACTCTGCAGCTTCTGGTGCAGAGATCCTGATGATAGGCACACTATTTCTCCCAATCACATTGTCTCTTACAATCACAACTACTCTTCTCCTTTTCCGTGAAGTTGAGATCACTGAAGAACCTGAAGCCTGGGATCTTCATGAATGCTACATCCCCTCATCCAAGTTTATTTCAGTAACGCATATCAAATCCACTTGTGGCTGAATGTGGCTTTAATTGCAACATCAGAACAACAGCAGCAACAAACATTAGCAGTATCCCATCCTGCTATTGGAAGTTAGTTATCATTAATTAATTGGACTGCTTGTTGAAGAGAATAGACTAATCTTGGAGTATTTATACTGCCAATAAATCAAATGTTATTTCTTAAGATTTTGGGCCAACATTTAAACTGCTGTCTTTATGGCTGTTTAACCAAGTAAATAAAGCTTGCCACGTGAATGGAATTTAACATGCAAGAAAATAATTCAGTTTCTCTCATCTGATTTATCAATTAAGTGGGAACCTAACTAATCCCAGTTAAAGTTACTAGTGAAGACCAGTTGAAAGACAGATAATATTGTATTTGGAATAAAGTTAATGGAAAAACTCCATGCTTAACAGTGTAAATTTTCTTTTTGTTGGAAAATCACCATTTCTATTTTTAACTGGATGATGATAATGATGATTACTATTACTATTCTTATCACACTTTTTTTATACATAACTCAAGGTGGCATTGCATCCAGACTGCTGGATGCAAACATTTTAAGAAATGAGTCCCTTTTGCATATTACAAGTAGTCCTTGACTTACGAAAATTGGGACCAGAATTTCTGTCACTAAGCAATGCGGTCATAAAGTGAGGCCTCACTTAGCAACAGCAATCCCTGCAGTCCCGGTTGTGGTCATTAGCTGAATCCCATGGTTGTTAGGTGATGCAACTTCCTGCTGGCTTCCCACAAAATCAGTGAAGAAGGTTGCAAATGACAATTGTGATCACAGGGCGCTTGGCAAATGGGTTGCCAAGCACCCAGATCATGATCACATGACCAACTGCAGGGATGGCCGGAATTTGAGTACCAGTTGTAAGTCTACTTTTTCAGCATTGTCATAGCTGAACGGTCACTGTAAGTCTTTATAGCAACCTAGATTTCCTTTCAAGGGTTTTCCTGATGAATGGATTCTAATATTAATTCATTATTCTTCTTACATAATTAACTTTCCATGTTATCAGTGGAATATTTTACTTTTCCAGAATCTGTTCTGTGAAAAATATTAATTCCCTTTCAGATTTTCTGAATTTTTGCATATCTTTGCCACTGAATGTTATCAAAATTTCATGTAAGTCACCCTGATGTTTAAAGAGAACCTAAGTGAAGAAATAAATTCACTGTTTCAGTGTTTTCATAACAAAGTCATCCAATATGAAACGTGCCATGGATAGAGACATTATTGTGGATAGACAAATATACAATTGCAAGAAAAAGTATGTGAACCTTTTGGAATTTCATGGTGTTCTGCATTAATTTGTCAT